CCCAATCATCTCCAATTCTCACGTAGGGTGAAGGATAATTAGCACAAAGTGAGGAATAACTAGCCGCTCCCTTATTAAATACATGTAATATGGTTATATTATTGATGAATAAAATATAAAGTGATTTTGAGTTATGATATTTATCAAAGTGCAATTTATATACCGGATGACATTGTTCATTTTGGTTAAGAAATTAGTATTTCAAGGTTGGATAGTATTTGCTAATATAAAAAGAAAGTTTTTATATAAATTGATAAACATCAATAATCTTCAAAAGATTATAATTTTTGAATTTTTTTCATGGTTTGGACTTATAGAAGAAGCTTGAAGGTAATAATCTAAAACTTTGGTTGATGAGAGTAACGAAAGTTGAAATTTTATTGGGTGTTTTTTTATATATGTATAAAGAATGAACTATGAAAAAAAATTAGTTTTATTGGGTGTTTTTTTATATCTCTATAAAGAATGAACTATGAAAAAAAATTAGTCCTTATAACGATTGATATGTAACTGTTTCCAATCTTATTTGTTATATACAATCCAAGTTGTGATTAAAAGTTAATAAGTGCACACAATATAATGGTTCATAATTCAAGTTTGATTCTTGTAATGTTATGTTTTTAAAAATCTCATGTATAACTAATATTATGTGCTTGCAAACTCACGTTTCAACTTTCAAGTTATAATAACATCTACAACATAAATTTGTTCAACATTAGGTTCTCCAAAGCTTTTGTATCATGAATATTGTTATAATTAAGAAAAAATCAATCGTTTTCATTATAAGGTTAAATACTATTCATCAATTTTGAATTATATTTCTCTTATTATTCAAAAAAGGTGACATGTTCAAGCATGTACTGATGTTATACATTTTGTATGTTGAATAAGTACTGGGATTAAGTATTTAATAAAACTCAAATATACAGCAAAACTCCTTCAGTTACACCAACCATTATATCCTTCTGATATATATGTAAGCAGCAAATTACATGATCATCCCCATACATTCCAAATGTAACGAATTTTTAATACAAACTTGGCTCCACCGTCTGCTATGGAATTGTAGAGGAAGAGGTATTACACGGAGGTCATGGTCTCATCAACTTCCAAGGACGTAGAAGTTGACTTCGTTGTGGAACTCTTTAGCTAAATCACTTCTCCCCCCCATAAATGAATATCCGGTAGATCCAAATTCTATGCTGTTGCGAGGAAACTTAAGGGAGACTCGACAAAACCAAACTCCCGCAATTAACCAAAGAAAAACGAGTTACGTCAATTTTTACCCATTCATTATCACTCCTTTCCCCAACAGTATCTTAGCTTTTCCGGCTCTCATCGTTTCCATGGGCTTCATTTATGGCTGAGCATCTTAGCCCCCAACCTGCATCCCGTCGAGGGACACCTACGTACACATCTTTCCAAACCCTGCACTGCTAGTCTCCAATTGCCAGACGTGATTATATTATTTGACAAATGAAAATTAATTGTTTTTTAACCTGTAAAATCTGGCTCAAAATGTTCGAGGCGCATGTTCTGAAGCTTCCAAAGGACCTTCGAGAATTTCACTGACACTCGAACACCGAACACCGAACACGTAATAAAAAAATGTCAGAGGTTCAGGTAATTGCAGTGAATCTCTGTAATTGTCACAGACGTATGGGGATTGATGTGCGTGATTTGATTATGTGGAAGTATGTCAAGGACTCGACTGTGACAGAGGTTGACCCTTTCGTCAACCTTGTGCGCGAACTTCGAAGTCGATCGAGATGTCGACCACGAGAATGGACACGAACTTGGGCTTCAGCTGCAGCTTCAGCTTCAGCTTTTGACCACCTCGGATTACGACAAAGGACACAGAAGCACGTAATGGGCATGGAGTGCGAGACGGGATCCGAGTGCACTCCACGTCTCGTACAAGAACATGGACGGGCGACATGTGGGGCCGGGAGGGAGGGAGGCAGAGGGTGCAAGTCAACCTCTTGGCTCGATCGATGGATCGATGGATCGCTCGGGGAGGAGATCGATCGATCGATCGATCCGAGGCCAGGGCAGGGCAGGAGGAGGATGCCGAGCAGAGCGGCCCACTTCTGGCGCCAGGCCGAGGCGATGGATCGGTGTCTGTTTCCGAGAATCCAAAATGGCGACTGCTGTCCGCTTTCGCTTTGATAATGTCGTTCTCGGTACGAAAGGGTGACGTGAATGGCATGGACCGCGGAACATGAAGAAGACTGAGCATGGAGGAGTTGGAGCAGAAGCGATGGGCTGCTGCTGCCGGTCTCCCCTCGCTCGCTCTCCTCTCGCTTTCGAGTTCCTGATAACGTATGCTTTTGGAACCTGTCCATGTGGGCCATGAAAGGGGGCGGGGTCCGGCTCATTCATTTCATTCTATCTCCAGGCCCTCGGCCCATCCAATGGCCATCCTTTACTTGAACCGAGCCACAACGCAATGGATGATCGAGAGCTCGTCGACGCCCGGCCATAATATATGGTCAATAACCTACTCGATATTAAATTCTCCAATTTGGACCACATTCGAAAGTCTTGCCCGAAATAGGAGGTCGAGAAAATTCGACCCCATTTCTTATTTGCATCAAAGATATATCCGACTATATCCCAAAAGCAGGATTGGTATCGAGTGATCATGGTGCGCTCCATCGAAGCTTTCGAGCTCATCTACCATATCCCTCCTACACTTCGCTTTCGCCCCTTAATTCCTCTGCCTCCATTATATAACTCCCTCTCACGCTTCATCCCTGTCCAACTTGGCGGGTCATTTTCCAACTTGTTTTCAACTCTTCCTAAATTAATCATTGCCCTTTCTTCGCCCACCATATGTCTCAGTCGTATGCTTGTTGTTCATGGACTGACTGGTCGAAGAATCACAACCTGAATCGTGGAGGAATCCGAACTGGACTGTCCCCCAAACACAGAACCTGCAGACACGTCCCTGTGTATGTTTGGAGCTCCTACAGTCTTACTGTGGGATGCAGAAGAAGATGTCTAGTCTAGGCACCAAAGTGACCAGGGCCTTCATAAGTCTTACATCAGGCTGCTGGAAATGTTTGATCAGGTTAAAAACGAAGCCGAATTCTGTATGGGCCAATGAATCACCGAGGACGGTACATGTAATTACGAGGACGAAGCCGAGGCCGACATGTAGACTTGCATTCAGTACCACGTACCGATCGTCATGTCAAGACAATAAATTCAATAGCAGCAGCAGTTGCTACTAGATTCTCATTTCTGTAGCATGGAATGTCGCCAGGGCTCCAGAGTCCAGATAGTTTTGGAAACCATCGCACGCGATTTCGTGATCATTGCTGACAACCGATGACTTCTAGGACGTCGCTGGGCATAATTCCAGATGAGGACGGCCGGGAAACGAAGACTTAGGGTAATCAGTGTCCGGCCTGCTTTTGCGCATGTCATTATCGAAGTAACCAGACAGAGCGCAGTCGTTCGGGAACGCCCCGCCTCTCGCCCACCGCACCGGCATCCTTCGCGACCGAATGAGCACCTTCTCGAAGGGATATGCGCGCGGTGGGGGCCTCCGCGTGATTTTTCAGGACTTTCATAATCCGCACTCTTCGACCGGAGCGGTTGGTTGTGTTTGTATGCTCTCGTGGTCCTTTTCGCCACCCGAGCCGCTCGCTGCCATTGCCTCACACACCGACGCAATTTTAACAGTGCCGAAAAATCCCGCACCAGTTGCCCACGGGCAAAAGGCGACGAGCACGGCACATTCGACCGAATGTGTCGCTCGCTCCATAGCCCTCAGCTATCATCGATCATCTAGAGGGGGAAGAAGAGAGGGTGAGCGCAAAGGAAGACGCTAAGTGCCTGCGAGCCGCTGTTGCTATTCTACGCAAGGGGGGCTTACGGTACAGTAGAAGTCAAGTCAAACAAAAATCTCTCGGCGCCGGAGGACTGCCGGCGTGGTGTGACCGGTCCGGGCCGGGCCGGGTCGGGGCGGGTCGGTCGGGCCGGGGGGGCGGGGCTGGGCTTCCGGACTGGACGTAGCCCCTGAGCTCTTTGTTTGCTGTTGTCTTAGATCCTTGGTGGGACCGCCGGGTATACGAGGGGGAGATCTTTGGTAACGGCAGGTACCAGTGGTACTCACGTGTCGGCCCGAGCGAGGTGCCAGGTGTGCAGCTCTCCTCTTCGTGATTGCCGAGCGCTCTCTACGGAGGGACGCTTCTTACAAAATACGTACCATACGGTCCTTCGCTGTACGTGAACCCCAAACGAAGCCCTCCCCTCCCTCTCGCGAGAGCACCAGCAAATGTTTGCCTAAGGAGGTGGCCACATCGGACGAGCTCCGTCGATGACGTGGGTCCCGCCAAGTGATGGGTTGCCACCGTGGCAGAGCTCGAGTCCATGATGCGGACGTGGTTGGTGGTCCATCGGGTGGCCCTGCCATCCGATGGATCTCTCATGGAGACATGGCGGATTGCCGTAACGCAGTAGGGAAGGGGTGATTCGCCAGAAGAGGAAGAAGGGGCTGGGGGCGGGGCTGGGCTAAACTTTCCGGATTCAAGCTGTCCGTGCCCGCGAGGCGTAAGGGGAATCGGGGGATCTCGATTTGCGTCGATAAGGACGATCTGCGTCCCTCCGGAAGGTGCGGGTAGAAACATGCAGAGTTACCGTGGGAGCGAAGTAAATTGGCGCGATTTGACCGATGTCAGACGCCGGGTTCGAGTTTTCACCCCCCGCGCAGAGTGGACGTGGTTTCGTCATGAGTTTCTACTGCCCTATGACCGCCACGTACGCCCCACGTGTCGAACCCTCATAACCCAAAGCCGATCGTCGCTGCACGATTTCGAGACATAATACGCCGCCAGCCAATGGGCGGCCGCCAGCTGCCCTCCAAGTGCAGAGGAGGAAGATACATGTGAGAGGAGGAGATCTGCCCCCGCGGCCATCCCGACCGTCCCGCCGCCCATCCGACGGCCCCTCTCGCAAGATGCGTCAAAGATTCCCTTCCGCTCCGTAGACGAATGTTGGTCGCGTGTCGACCGGGAGGTGGTTTTCCTCCGCCCTCTAACTGTATCCGCCAGCCCGCCCGCCCGCCCGCCCGCCAGCCTGCGGTGGGTACGCCCAGCGGGGGGTGGGGCTGGGTTGGGGTTGGGGGTAAGCCAAAAGGGGGGCTCCCTTCTTATTTATCGCGGAGTTTAGCACCGGCCCAGCGGCAGAAGAACAAGACGTTGGAGGAGGTGGGGGCTTATTCATCGCTAGAGACGCTTGGAGAGGTGGAAGAAGAGCTTCGCACATCGCATCGTCGTGCTCCGTCCTCCGTCTCGCGAAGGGGCTAGAGAATTACTTGTTCGACTCCGAGTGGCTGGAGGGGGCTGGGAGAGCTGAGTGTGCATGGCAGAGGGTGATGTGACGCTGACGAGGAGGGTGATGCTGACGGGGGTAGGGGTGTGAAGTGAAGTTAGCGAAGCGAGGGGAAGGGAAGGGGGGAGAGGGAGGGGGAGGGGGAAACGGAGAAGCGAAAGAGAGGGAGGGGGTTTGGGTTGCTATTAATGTGAATGTGCTCAGGCGGAGGTGGTAACTTTTCCAGGCGACGAAGGGATCTGGATCGGTGGTGGAGGAGTGGCATTTGGCCCTTTGGCCCCGTGCATGCGAGTTTTATTTGGCGTTTCTCGGCGCCATTTATAAGCGAAATTGCGCCCAGAGCAAGGTGGAGGAGGAGGAGGAGCAGCAGCAGCAGCAGCAGCACCAGCTGAGGACTGGGACCGACCGCGGAGCAGCAGCGTGCAGACGAGCGTCGCTCGGCGGGGACGCCCACGCCCTCCACCACGACCCTTTGCGCTGCCGCTCCTTCACACTGACTCACCCCAGACCACGAAGAAGATCCTTCGGCGGTGCCACGAGTTCAATTTGATCGCCCTGGGGCTTTGCTAAAGTGCGTGCTCGAGGACGGCGGCTCGACGGCCAATTTCCACGTACGTAATAAATTTTTTGGTTTTTTTTTTCTGGGTGGGTTTTGGATTGCCTGACTTGCGCTTCTGGTTCTCGAATGTCCATGGCCACGACGGGGGTCGAGGTTTTTGTTGATTTGTCATTCGGTCATTGATTTGACGTCGCGTCGTGATGATCGACAAGCTTCGCGGCTCCTTGTGGTGTGGTTCTGGAGTGCCTGCGTGCCTGGACGGGGCGGGGAATGAATTCGACGTGAGCGCGAGGCTCTGTTCCGGTGGTTTTTCCTCCTCGTCCCTCCCTGTCCCTCGCCGATGGCCCTCCCCGTCCGTGGATCTTGTCCGGCGGAATTCTCTACCGGTTTCCGTTCGCATCTGTCGCTCGTGCCGGGCTCCGGTCCGCGAAGCATTCGGTCTCGCACATCGCGAGGAGCATTGGGAGCTTTTTCTCCCGTCGGAATCAATGTCGTCTGCAATCCCGTCTCCATCTTCTGATGTTTTCCCCTCCCCAGGATTTTTTCGCTCGCGCCCCCTTAAGCGCAGTTACGATCTTTTCTTCAAGACTCGCTTGTGGGGTCAGCGTCCGAAGATTTTGTGAGCGCGAATTTTGTGTGGTCCCGTTTGTGTCATGGCGCTGAGTGAATTCGTCGTCTGCCGTGCAGCAACTGGAACAGTGGTGAAGACTCGACTCGACGACGAGGAGGATAAGTCAGGAGACGAACTGTGATACGTAGAATTTTGAAGAAGGGAAGGAAGGAGCCATGGCTGGAAATGAATGGATTGGCGGATACTTGGACGCAATTCTTGATTCGGGCAGTGGACGAGACGAAACGAAACTCGCAGCTGCGAAGATTGGAGCTGGTAGAGATGCTGTAACTGCTGCGAAGTACTTCGTCAATGAAGTCACTGGACATGACGATGCCGCTCTTTACCGAACCTGGATCAAGGTACATTGTCGGCACCGTGAATGGATCGGTGCCTATGCCGTGTCACCTTCTTGTACGGCCCGTCTTTGCTGCTTTCAATCAATCCGCTGTGATCTGCGCTTGAAGACGATTCGATGCGCCAGTTTTGAGCCGAATCTCTCTTTCTCTCTCTCTGTTCGCTTTTCCTAATCGAATGGTTCAAATCTCTAATTCGCAGGCGTCAGCTACCAAATACCCTCAAGAACGAGGTAGCAGGATGGAGTACTTGTGCTGGAGAATTTGGCACATTGCCCGAAGGAAAAAGCAGGTTAGCCTTTCTGTCCTTGCAACGATGGATGGATTCTTCATGAGATGCGTCCTCCCTCGTTCGGCCGGTTTTATATTGGCCAGATGTTTCGCTTTTCTTGGACATACTGCATCACGAAATCCACCCAGCCACAATTAATAAGGAATTTCCAGACCTGATGAGCTTCAGTGTACAGATGTCGCCGTTCCCAATAGCTTCCTTTATCGTTGTCTACATTGAACCTCTCGCAATCTTTCCGCATTCTGTAATAAAATTGGGGTTTGTGCGATAGGTTTCTCTCCAGCGTTGGTAGTCCTTTGCAATCTTCAGAAGAGGGTTTTTCTACAATCTTAATAAAATGCGATTGTTTTGCCCTGACCGGAGGTAACCCTCTCGTAGATGTGTGCAATTAGCTCTTGTGCAGATCTACTGACATGAGACATGAAACTTTTCCTACTACTTTCTTACAACCCCGTTTGGCAGTGGTAGCAGCCCAATCAGTGACTGATCCTCGACGCACCTTTGAGTTGTGTGCCTGTATCAGACGAAACAATCCACGAGATTCGTGAGAGTTCTCTTAAAACATAAATGTGATTTGTGAACAGCAAGCCTTAGCGGACCACAAGCTGAAGCAAAAAGATTACATCAAGCGGCCTTCTTACCACGTAACCTACACTGAATCAACCCTGAGCCAATCCCCTGCCCTTAAAAAATGACAGTCGATCATGTTCTTCAGCTAGGCTGAACTGTACACGCTTAAAGCCATGAATCTGTAACCAAGAACCTGTCGATGCTGAATTGAAACTCTCGTGAACACGATGCGTGAGGACAGTGAAATTGTGGTGAGGCGACGATGGGACTTACGGCGCGTGCCTCTGCGTTTTGCGCGATTTGCAGATGGAATGGGATGACGCTCAAAGGTTGGCTCGTCGCCATCTCGAGCGCCAGAGGGGTGCGAAAGAGGCCGCGGACGAAATGTCCTGTGAGGATCTTTCAGAAGGAGAGAAGGAGAAGCCCGACGTAGCATCTGAACTGCCTCCAATTGTCGAAGGGAACGAGATTCGCCTCGGAAAGACGAGCAATGAAACTGATCCTGCCGATCAGAAGAAGGAAAAGCGATTGTACATCGTTTTAATCAGGTGTGGTTCTGCTTTATCGTAAGCCATCAGGTTATCTCGCGATCGAAACTCTCATCTTGAGATCACGAGTTCTGCCGAATCTTTCCTGATTCAATGCGATGTCCGAACAGTGTGCTCTATTTTTTAGTGACATTACGTAACCAGGCGTTCGGTGCGCAATGAGAATGAGATTAAATCGGAATGCCGTAATCGTTCTAACACTCACAATTTGCTCTACAGTATGCATGGCTTGGTACGTGGAGATAACATGGAGCTTGGTCGCGATTCCGATACTGGTGGACAGGTAAAATTCTCCGCAACGAGAGATCCTTGGACATAACAATTCGATAGAGATGTTATAGTGGAAAGGGCATTGCAGCTTCTCGGTCGCTGGGACTTGCCTTGATATGCTAGTTAAGGTTTTTCTCTATGACGGAATTAATCACGAAACAGGGCTTGGAATGATGATGCACGAATGAAGTGGAGCGATGTTTTGTTGGCTGTATGTACTCATGTACGTACAGTAGTTAACGCGAGCGATTTTTCCTGGATTGGGCAGGTAAAATACGTGGTGGAATTAGCAAGGGCCTTGGCGTTGATGCCAGAAGTGTATCGAGTTGACTTGCTGACACGTCAAATTTGTGATCCCGCTGTGGATTATGAGTATGGTGACCCTACCGAGATGCTCACAGTCAGATCCTACGACGACGAAGTGACAGAGTCAGGAGAGAGCTGTGGAGCGTACATCGTTCGAATTCCCTGCGGTCCCAAGGAGAAGTATATTCGAAAAGAGTTGTTGTGGCCATACATTCAGGAGTTTGTCGATGGTGCTCTTTCGCACATCCTCAACATGGCTCGGGTTTTGGGAGACCAGATTAATAATGGGGAAGCGCATGTATGGCCTCATGTGATTCATGGTCACTACGCGGATGCCGGAGACAGTGCTTCTCTACTGTCAGGTGCCTTGAATGTTCCAATGGTATTGACGGGTCATTCTCTGGGCCGAAACAAATTGGAACAACTTCTTACCCAAGGGCGAGAGACTCAAGGGAATATCAATGCAACTTATAAGATAATGCGTCGTATCGAGGCAGAAGAATTGTCATTGGACACCGCAGAACTCGTAATTACTAGCACGCGGCAGGAAATCGAGGAACAATGGGGTCTCTATGACGGATTCAATGTCAAGACGGAAAGAGCACTCAGAATTCGAGCTCGACGCAACATTAGCTGTCACGGCCGCTACATGCCTCGGATGGTGGTACGTGTAACTGATCTCGCAGGTTGTTGATAGCAGGCTATTGACTGTTGTTTTATCCTGAATTTGTATATCATAACCTTGAATTATTTTAAGTAGAGAATATAGTCTGCGTCGATCGATCGACCATTAAAGGCGTTTTTAACTTGATACCTGCACGATATTCAGGTTATTCCGCCAGGAATGGACTTCAGCAACGTTGTGGTCCAAGATGCAGGCGATGTGGTGGATGATGTAGACTCACTAGCTTTTTCGAATTCAGACGGATCTGTGACCACGCCAGTGTCCCCACGTTCTGACCCTCCGATTTGGTCCGAGGTATACTCCAGTTGCCTGCTCGTCTAGTACACTGCTAATCAATAGCAATTCTGATACTCTCGAGATCTACGTCCAGGTAGCTTGGCTGAAAATGATGCACACATTCCACTGACAAATTTGGTCGTTTTATTGCAGATCATGCGTTTTTTCACGAACCCTCACAAACCCATGATATTAGTATTAGCTCGCCCAGATCCAAAGAAGAACATCACTTCGTTGTTGGAGGCCTTTGGAGAAACTCGGCCTCTACGTGACCTCGCTAATTTGGTAGGAATTCCTCTCTGGAAACTTTTCGCTTACTTGGGTATCACTGGACTCTATATTTGGGCCAAGATTCACAATGTTGTCTTGCCCGATATGTAAATTGCAGGTTCTTATCATGGGCAATCGGGATGACATAGACAATATGTCTGGTGGTAATGCCGACGTCCTTGTGCAAGTGTTGAAGCTGATTGACAAGTACGATCTTTATGGTCAAGTGGCATACCCCAAGCATCACAGGCAGTCAGATGTTCCGGAGATATACCGTCTTGCAGCCAAGACCAAAGTGAGTATCGATGTTTTCAGTTTGAGGAATTTGGTCTATCTATGCGGAAGTGGGTGCAAGATTGACAAAACTGCATTGATAGTATTTAATCCATCAGTGCAAATGCGTATTATACGCGAAAGGTCTTTTGTGCACTTTATGAAAGTAGATCACTGACTCGTCGAGTGTTCGCTCCTTGCAGGGAGTTTTCATCAATCCTGCTTTGGTGGAGCCATTCGGATTGACCCTCATTGAGGTATGAATGAAAGTTTGCAGAAGACTGAATCAATTTTTTCCCGTAAGACCTTGATCTTAATGTTACCTACGAATCCATTGTGTTTGGTATACACCTTGAAACCCTCTTTTTGCACCTGTGCATCAGGCCGCCGCTCACGGTTTGCCTATGGTAGCTACGAAGAACGGAGGTCCGGTTGATATTCAGAAGGTACGCTTTGCTTGGATACTGAAGGTTGCGATTAAAAGTTCGACTTACTTTTTAGAAGCCATAAATACCGAGATGGCTCGGTTGTTGAAAGTGTTTGTTCTTTGTTCAACTCCTTCAAGATGCACTTGCTGGGGTTGAGAAATGCTGCCATTGTTATGAACGACTAATTGAACGGGTGTTTTATCATCCAGACTCTCAGCAACGGTTTACTTGTCGACCCGCACAATCAGAAGGAAATTGCGGATGCCTTGTTCAAGCTGGTATCTGACAGAAACCTCTGGATAGACTGTCGACGAAATGGTTTGAAGAACATTCACTTGTACTCGTGGCCTGAGCATTGTCGCACATATCTGTCTAAGATTGCCCAGTGTCGCATGAGGCATCCCCAATGGCAGAATGACAATACCGTCGACGAGAACAATGATGTTGAGTCTCAAGGCGATTCTCTTCGCGATGTACGTGATATATCTTTACGCTTATCGTTGGATGGTGATAAGTTGAACAGTGGTGGTTCGAAAAGCCCAGCCGATTTCTTGAAGGCTTTGGAAAGGTACGGGGTCAGGGATTCAAATGGTGACCAGGTGAGGCCATTACGATCTATGAAAAGCGGTTCTCGACTTGAGAGCATGCCAGAATCGATTAAGAGATCTATAAGTGGCACCAGCGACAAGAACAGTTCCCACTTAAGTAGTAGCAAGGTGTCTCTTCTGCGGAGGAGGAAGAAACTTATCGTCATTGCGGTTGACAGCTACAATAATGCGGGCCAGCCGAATGAGATGTTACTCAAAACGATCAAGGCTGTTATTAAAGCACAGCAGAGCGATTCTTCTCAAAAGCAAACTGGGTTGGTGTTGTCCACAGCGCTTACTTCTTCAGAAGTTCAGAACTTACTGAATTCTGCCGAAATTCCTATGCATGAATTCGACGCGTTGATAGTCAGCAGTGGAAGTGAGCTTTATTATCCGTCCGGCGGCGACGACGCGGGCGCAGATCTTCATGCAGATCCTGATTATGACTCACATATCGACTATCGCTGGGGTGGAGACGGGTTGAGAAAAACCCTTGCGAGCATTTTCACTCCGGAGCAAAACGGGGAAAAAAAAGTTGAAAGAGCTCTTGCTGAGGATGAAGAGCGGTTTAACAGCCATTGTTTAGCGTACAAGGTGTTGAAACCACAGCTGGTAAGATCCTCGACAGGGTGGGACTAGTCTGATTGTTTATGTCTATATGCTTCAGGTCAATCGTGGTGTATTTGGAAGGTGAACGTTTTTAGCTCATCTCCATGTCTCTTTGCAGGCACCATCTGTGGACCAAATCCGACTGCGATTGCGGCAACGTGGTCTCAGGTGTCACGTCATGTACTGCCAAAATGAGGCGAAAATGCGGGTCATTCCCCTGCTCGCTGCTCGTTCACAGGCTTTACGGTTTGTTTCTCCACCTGAATGGTACCTTTCTGAATGTCCTGGTTTACGCATACTAGAATGCACAAGCTGAGTAAAGTATTCACCTGGGAAGGTAGGCCCATTACTATCCTCGCAAAACCTTATTTAAGAAGAGAAATTCTGACATGGTAGTTGTTTGCAGATACTTGTTCGTGCGATGGGGTCTGGACGTGGCAAACATGCTTGTCATTGTAGGAGAGACCGGTGATACAGATCATGAAGAACTTTTGTCAGGAACGCACAAGACAGTCATTGTGAAGGGAGCTGTCACATCAGGTTGTGATAGGCTTTTGCGAGTTGCGTCTAACTATGCCAGAGGAGATGTTGCTCCTGCCGATGGGCCTTACATCTCTACGGCTGAAACTGTTGATGACGTTGGGGCTGCAGTGATGAAATTTACCAAGAGTCGGATGTAGGCGGATATTCCATTCCCATATTAGGATCGATCATGCTACAGAAACCTGCCGTGGGTAGTACCTGTTTCTAGTTTCACCTCTGCATTGCAGTCGTTGCCACTCATCTCTGGATTTGATCGCTATCTGAATATCGTGGTCGTATAATTTCTCCAGAGCATTCTCTGTATTCTATAGAACCTCTACAGTCCTCGAGCTGTTCAAAGGAAACTTCCTCGAATCCGGTCAAAATGTTCTCGTTCAGTCTTCGCCTCCTGCATTTTGACACTTGAGTGAGTAGGTGGAGAATACTAGTTAGTATTACTAGTCTGTTACAACCTACTGGTGCAGGTAGATGAGAAAAACGCTCCCGAGTGTTTTTCTGTTTTGTACATAATCACTGTAGAAAGGCCGAGACTTCATCACTATTAAATCAATTCTTTAACTTGTCTCTTCTAAAGAGGAGAGAGAAGATTCTGTTCGCTTACTTCAACTAGTGACACTGTGGATGGGCAAGGTACCATCAGCCAGTTGCCATACAGTTTTTTTCCAACTCTGACAATTACCATGGTATTATAATACAATGTGCGGTCTGATGTTCCTGTTCAATGCGTACATGGCCAGTGAATGTCTTTCTAAGTTAGACTGCTCTAAGCTTGTCCAGCGAGTCAACGCTGTGAAAGTCAGTGTGATCATCGACTACAATATGCAAAGGCAGAAAACTGTGCGATATGTGAGAGCAATGAAACGAAAGTTGTATAAGTTTGAATATTATACCCTTTGACTTGTCCTTGACAAGCCTAATGGTGAGAGAAAGAGTGCAGTGGAAGTGTAGAAAAGCATGAACTTAAACACTAACTTAAACAATTGTCTGCTCATAGATAACTTCAATATGCTATCATGTGGATCATAGATCTAGGACTCATAAAGACTACTTAGGCAAACAAATCCTCAATGATGAGTTTGCTGAGGATGTGCTTTTCACCATCGACTGTATGTATCCCATCACAACACAGGACAAACATCAATTCAGCGCATGTAACATATATAAATATATTAATAAATAAATATATAACCTTACTGTTCAGTCCAGTGGCTTACAGTCCTGCTTCTAGTGTCGTGCTCTCCTTTTGAGCTCTGACAGACTTAAGATTTTGATATATATATATATATATATATATATATATATTATATTGCAATTCTCCCGCTATAATTTTGAACTTTTTCTTTACTTTTCCGTATTCTTCGACCAGTGAGACGGCGAGTCTCTGATATTTGGATCTGCAATTATTGGAGGTCGACAATTCCGCAATTGCTGTGAATTGCAGAGAGTGCAATCTACAGAGCAGAGCTGGACATGGTTTGACTTATAAGCTGGAACACTTCACCGCTCCTTTCTTCACCGTAACTTCAAAAAGTCGAAAGTCACTTAATATTGCCTTTCGATCGTATATGAAACTTGACAAAATATCTCACGAACCTTCAATTCAAAAACAGGAAGGGACTCGGGCCGTCGCTGGAAGGTGGCCCGACATGTTTTCCCACATGAGTGAACAATGGCTGCTGCTCCTTATCTTACTGGTGTCGACTGCATTCGTCTTCACGACGAACGTGATCCTTCGGAAAGAGACGGGAATTCCTGGACCTCGTGGATGGCCAGTGATTGGACACCTTCCGCTTCTGCACCGCAAAAAGATTGTCCATCAAACTCTGATGAATCTCGCCCAGAAATATGGACCTCTGTATGAATTGAGGTTAGGAATGCTAAAGGTTTTGGTTATATCGTCTCCAGACCTGGCCAAGGAGATTCTCAAAATTCAGGATGCATCGTTTGCAGATCGTCCTTTCACAATCATTGGAGAGCTGATCGGCTACCAACGAAAAGACATTATATTTTCACCAACTGATGATCACTGGCGTTTTATGAGGAAACTTGGCTCCGAGTTCATGTCTTCAAAGGCCATCCAAAAGCAACAGGTATCGTACATACAAGCCATTCATTCAGTCAATCTCTGTTCAGTGTCGATGGCTGCATGCTTGCGTACAATGTTGAGATGATGAGTTTCAGATCAATCTTATCCTCGCTACTTCAATTCTTCACTACGAATATACTTGTAAAACAGAATCTTCATCAGCTGGCTACGTCTCAGGTCGTTGTACAGTTTCTGTGTTTGATCTAGCTACGTTCCAGCATGTTGTCTTACTTTCCTGGGCTTGTACCATCCTACGCAACACATTCAATGAACATCATATTCGCAGTATCAGCAGTGCCTGGGAATGGAAGCATCGTATTTAGGCCACCGTCTTCGAGTGACATCCTTTTCTTTGAACACGTATTTGGTGTCATATCCACGGGCCAGATGTCAATTCAGATCGAGGCAGTGAATTTTCTTTATAAATAATAGCGCTCCAGTATTCATTGGAGAATTAAAACTAATCCAGCCCAATGTCGCATTTGTTGCTTATTCGTAGGTTTCCAGGCATGAGACGCTGATGACGGCTGTGAACTCCCTACTTGAATGTCAGCAAAAGCAATTCGCTTTTCTTCGCGCAACGATTCGCGTTCTCAGCATCATGCCATTTTTTTTTCACCGATAGTCTTAGGTTCCAAAGGAATAGAATTACGTGAAGAATTACTCGACATGATGCTCACCCTCATACCCCAAATGCTGCTCGGGAAAAGTCTAATTACAGGGAAGTCAGTGGCAAAGTCAATTGAATCCAATGGTATGAAGAAGCTCACACAAGTCTTCAAAGATCTGGCTAAATCCGACCTCTTTGTGCTGGGTGACTGCTTTCCGTTCTTGAGGTGGCTGGACGTGGGAGGCGCCGAAGCCAGACTTGTGAAATTGCATCGCGAGTTGGATAACATTCTCTCGGATGCCATGAATGCGCTTCGTCGCGAAGCTCCACATGCTGCTTCTGGACCCATGCTTGATGCAAACTTTGTTGTCCATGCAACGCACTGAAGAAGGGAAAAACATAACCGATGACGAAATCAAAACTCTCGTCTCTGTAAGTTCGAATCACTTTTCATATATATGCCTAGTTCTGATCGTCTCATCAACTGTAGAAATATGCCCACAAGTCACAAAATCCGACCTGAAGTGAGAGTGAGGATATGCATGGAGGGTTACAATAACTGCAGTAATTAGGAATTGGGCTGTACTGGCATGATTCCATTGTACTCCTCGCGATGTAATTTTACGGTGGTGTCGAGATCTTCTTTGTAGGTTGAAGTATCACGTAGAATCCACAGAGCCAGACAGTCACTCGATGCCTTCTCCCAGAGGATCAGATGGAACATGGTAAATGCTCAAAATCAGAGCAAGAGCCTGATCATGACCTTCCTTTCGTTGCACTCTGACAGGATTTGTTGATAGCTGGTATAGACTCTACATCAATCACCATTGAGTTTGGGATGGCTGAATTGATGAGGAATCCAGACGTCAAGGAGAAGCTTGTCAAGGAGCTGGACGAACTTGTGGGCAGAGAGAGATTGGTGGAGGAGTCAGACCTTGTCAACCTCAAGTACCTGAAGATGGTGATCAAGGAGACTTTCCGTCTTCATCCACCGGTGCCAGTTCTGTTACCTCGCAAGTCCATGGAGCCTGCGACTGTGGCTGGATATAAAGTTCCAAAGAACTTGCAGGTTTTAATCAACTCAGACGCCATTCAACGAAGCCCAGAATCGTGGGACGATCCGACCAGTTTCAGGCCGGAGAGGTTTGCGAACAATCCCGTCGACGTGAAGGGCCAAGACTTCTGCCTCCTGCCTTTCGGAGCCGGTCGAAGGCAGTGTCCAGGCATGGGAATTGGTGGGCTCATGGTGGAGATCACTCTGGCGACATTCTTGCAAATTCTCGAGTTCTCTCTTCCTGCAGGATTGAAACCAGAAGATGTGGACATGACTGCGGAAGCTGCAATGACATCTGCTCTGGTTTCTCCGCTCCTCGTTTCAGTGAAACCACGATTATCCCCGAAGCTGTGCAGCATGCGAACTTCAGGTAGGACCTTTCAGAGATCCTACGTCCTTACCTGGAACATTATTCAGGTAGAAACAGGATTTGGCGACAAAATATAAAACCTTCGAACAATATGTCCCAGCTCAACCTTTGAGGTGTTAGAAATTCCACCTCATAATGTTTAGAAACTTGTCCGTGGGAACCATAGACTTCAGTACACAATATCCGTCAAATTTACAGGAAAGTTTTACATTCAATATCAATTGATGTACTAGTCCATTATACATGTTTTTGATTTTTTTAAATTAAAAGGGAAAGAAAGATATCAACATTATAAACTCAAATTGATGTAAGATTTTTTATAAAATCATGTTAAAAAAAATTCTATCTAAAAATGATGATTTGAATTGTAATTGATATACTGTATTGCTAAGATGAATTGTGCATTCAGCATATCATAATCATCTCTAATGTAACCCTATTAAGTTGGTCCAATTCGTAAAGAATCCAAGTCACATACAAGGTTAAAGTCTTAATTCCCAATTTCTTCTCCAATCCTTCTCTCGTTATTCATGAACTTTAGAAAACGAGAGTTGTTCATAATATCCATCAGAAGATTTCTTCTTACATCTCGAATTTCCAATCCTAAGCTTGTATACTTGTCTCGTGTCTGACTGAAAAATACATAAAAAAACTGACATGTCTACATATGACCCCGACAATGGGGTCCAAATCTTCTGACAAAACTCTTCCGCATCTGATGTTTGTTGGACTGCTTGACTGATGCTTCCTGAATGCCGAACGTCAGCTCCTCAGTGAAGACTAGTGAATTCGAATCCTTCTTGACGATAACAACTCGAAAAATAATCCAAAGAAACAAATGTCTTAAAAAATACGATCGCTGCGCTGCACATGTAGATCTTGCCTGATTTTGTTTCTGAAGCAGTCGTTTCGTTACTATCGGTAGCAGAAGTCTGCGTAAGCTCGCTGGCGAGAAGTTCAGTTTACCGTCAATATTCTTGTCATGCATGATAGATTGGTATTGTCAGATTCTCGAACTCGCCAAATGTCTCTGAACTAACGTATACCCTTCTGCCTCTCTACATTGTGAAGTGATACTGATCGAAATTGTATAGGAAGTCTACCAGATATATGACAGAATCCACGCCACAAAGATAGTCGTGCGTTCAAAATCCTCACTGTGGAGAGTATGACCACGACAGAGACTTGGATTTGAGCTCGTTTTACGAATGAAAACAGAGTTTTCCTGCTCGCTGTTCAGATATCTAAGAGCATCATGAGGTGAGAACGTCCGCTGTAAGTGGATGAGATTACACATAGGCAGGTCCTTCCATATCCATCGCCTATAGGACGGACTAAGAACGACAGCCGTAGGCAACGAAAACGAGTATTAATACAGCTCCCAGGCTACATCTACAAGCGGAGGATATCCAAAATATATCAGTACTCTCGGTGCGGAAAAAAAGACATCGAGATAATTACTTGTATGACTGACCTGGAAAGAAACGAAGGAAATCGGATCGAGGGAAACGACATGGTTGAGTACTAGACCCTCCCAGTTGTGTTCAGCAATTATCCCACGGATTCAGACCGGGGTGCCTGAACGTGCCCACTCGGGGAATCTACCGGTTGAAGTTGCGACTCATAATTGGCATGAAAAATGTCGCAACGAGAAGTTCTCGGTCATATATAGACATACAAATTTATGCATACATTCTTGAAAACCTGACTGTAAGTAAATCAATCATGTCTATATACCTTAATCCACATTGAATAATTACTTAACAAAAACTTATCTGCAAAGAAGAAAAACTGTGTAACATATTGAAAAGTGTATGCTCACTAGGGATTATAATCTCGCTCCACTCGTTCACACCTGTGACTACGGAGCGGTGGGTTTAAGGTCCCTTGGCTTCCTTGTTCTCCTGTACCTCAAAGAGTATTTATGTGTTCATTTTTATCTCATAATAAATTTATTGTTTCTTACAATTTACTCATTGTTCATTTCATCATGGTATCAAAGCGAGGTTCTGCTTCAAAATAGATTACTTTGCTTATCCTCACGTTCCGTGATTTTGACTCTTGAGTGACACTCATTGCTTTTTCTCTTCAGTAGTTTTCTACAATTGATTACACGTCTTTGCTACTCATTATCCTTTCATTTCCTTCTCGTAAAGCATGTCAAGAGATTGTTCAAGTAACGTTGCCCACGGCCAAACCACTCCTACCAGTTCCGATGGTGGAGTTGGAGTTTCGTTGAAAAACCAACACGCAACCACTGGCCGCTTAGCAGTAGTTACAGCTGAGGCAAACTTACCAGAGTCGTATCATTTTTCTGGTGCATCAAACCATGGAGTTTGGTCATTCAGAATTAAACATAAGCTTAGTAAAGATGAATTGTTCTTTTATTGCACCACACCCCATCTTCTCCAATGGGAACAGTGGAAATATCAAAACAATCTAGATGCATGAGCCTGTTTATGAAGAATGTCAGATTCTCAGGTTTGGAGCTCTTCAAGCGATACAATGACCCGTATGAGCTTTGGACAGCACTTAAACATTGTTATGAGTCTGACAAAGGTTCAAGGCTGGCTCAGTTGATAGACAAATTCTTTCGTATTAGGAAACTCGACAGTATTATCATGGATGAACACCTCACAGAAGTGAAGAACATCTTTGATGCTCGAAGAGGTCAACTGTGGCCTCCCTGAGGACATCATAGTCTACTACACGCACCTGAACCTGTCAAGCCAGCACGATGTCTTCAAACGCATGCACATGAGCATCTTACATCTTACGATGATTTGGAGGCAAAATTGCTCGGGGAAGAAATTTCTCTCTCTTGGAATGCCAAAGAGAAATAGAACAAAGCCTTATTGGTTAGCCGCAACAACAACCGTCGAGCTCAACCATCTCGTGGAGGCCAATCAAATGCTTTTGCCAACAACATGATGGAAGAATCATCTTACGCAGGACAACAACATCCGCCTCAAAACTATGCAAGGAGTTACCGGCCGCCAAGCTACCAAAACGTTCAGAATTTTTAGTCTCATGGAGGACAACACCAAAGCTATCAACCCAGGTATCGATCACGTGGACTTGAAAATCCTCGCTCGGAGTATTGTAACTTCTGCTTTCAACGTGGCCATCTCGACCGCGAATGTGATTTAAAGGCGATGGTTGACCACGCCAAAGACATGGAGTTTTGATTCCAGGACCGACGCAAGCGCTCAATGCAAAGACATATCAACTCTGTGGATGACGACCTTGACCGCAACCTCCAATCCGACATACAGTGTGAGCGCAAAGAAGAATACGTTGACTTAAATGGTGAACTCAACATTGAGGCCTGCATGATAAAAATATTTTTTGAGGATCAACGTGTATCATGTGAGTTCTGTTCGACTTCAAAGATTTTGATTTCAGTTGGCTTCTACTAGCGTGGTCGAACTCAACTTGGTCCATACACCAACGGAATCAACTACTGTCTGGTACTTAGACTCGGGAGCGACTCATCACATCACAAAAAATCAACAAGTATTCTCATCGCTACATCAAAGCCTCACCACAAGTTTCAAAACAACTGGTGAGCACGGTCATGACGTTTTGGGAGTCGGCAATGTTGACATGCAATTTCCAAGTGGAGGCGTTCAGAGTATTTCTCATGTACTTTACTCTCCGTCGATCAAGAAAAATTTGCTTTCGGTTGGGCACATAGCCGACAACAATTATAGCCTTGAGTTTGTTTCATAAGGTTACACTATTCACAATAGGCAAACCGGAGAAACAAATGCATTTGCCTCAAGAGAGAATTCTCGCGAACTATATCGAATTCAAGGAGAGATTGTGCCACCGTTTGTTGGGATCAATTCTATCTATTTGAATCAGCATTCAAAGTTTGACATATGGCATCGTCGACTTGGGCATTTTCTTAAAGAAGGGATACGTCGTATGATCTTAGCTAACGCAGTTACAGGTGTGCCTTGACTAAGGTTGCCTGATAGACCTTGTATGAGCTGCTTTCAAGGAAAACAAGCGCGGACAAAGATACCCAAGCACTCCGACAGCAGAGCTGAACAGCCCCTGCAGTTAATTCACTCAGACATTTGCGGCCCTTTTCAACAACCTTCTCTAACTGGTGCGAGGTACTTTGTTAGCTTCATCGATGATTTCTCTCGTCAAACATGGGTGTATTTCATCGTCCAAAAATCAGACGTACTTGATAAATTCAAGATCTTTGAGCAAGAGATGGAGAACAAATTTCTTCGCATTGAAACTTTACTGTCCGATAATGGTGGGGAGTATATGTCGCAGGCCTTCACGACTTTCTGTGAATCTCATGGAATTCGTTGCGAGCTCACGGTTCCTTACACTCCGCACCAAAACGGCGTAGCGGAGCGAAAGAATCTGTCGCTTCTCAACATTACTCGTTGCCTACTTATCCACAAAAATCTTCCACACTCTTTATGGGAAGAAGCGGTGAAGGTTGTTTGCGTCATTCTAAACTTACGATCAAGCAAGGCTTCTCCGGATCGCACTTTAGTGGAGATTTTCTCTGGTCGCAAACCGTCAGTCATAGATTTGAGAATCTTTGTATCCATCGTCTTTGTCAAAGATAACTCCTCTAACTTGGGCAAGTTGGATGCGCACTATGAGGAGTGCATACTACTTAGCCACAATGATCGCGCTAAAGGTTACAGGTGTTTCCAGCCTTCCAAGCGACGTGCTCTAATTTCAAGAGATGTTCGCATCATCGAATCGTCACACGTGGATGTTGAAGATCCATCAGATTATGATCTAGTCAAAATGAGCAACTCGAAGCATCCTTTGGCTTTTGCATCAAAGCCAAAAGCAACAAATCAGTTACCTGCGGTCACTTCGCTTGAAACGGCCACTCCCATTGCGGTTACCGAGTTTTGAACTGTTCACCAAGTGCCAAAACTTCAGCCATCTCTGGCTCTTCTGCTGCTACAGTTCCTCAAGTCTCGACTGCGCCGCCAGAATCATCATCACATCTCACGGAGTTACAATGCGTGAATCAAAGAGAATAATAGCAACTACCTCGCCGCTCAACTCGTCCACATCAGTCACCGCAACATCTTTCGCACTGTGCGTATTAACTTGAATTTGCCTCTAAACCAATTGAGTTGGAATCTTCC